TAGACTTGATTTGTTCTCTTGGAGAGTATGTTGAGTATGTGGCCTGTCCTCTGGTAAGTTTAGGAAAGAGGTTTGCCTATTGTTTTGGGGCAGAAGGTTGAGGTTTCTCTTCGTCTAGAGTTCGGGAAGCATTGAAACTCTCTGATTGTCTATATGGGTTATTTTCCAAAAGTTGGAGCCTCGTGTTTGCGTGATAGTCACGGAGGGGCCAGCCACAACCGGGTTTTCTGCCATTACGTGTTTTGTTTCAATGCTTTGTTTACTTTCTTTGTTTATTTTTAGTGACGTGAATGAGAGGTCCCAAGGATTTTTCTGCTCGACTAAGTTAGCCCAGCTTTCTTTCTTGTTTGTATAGAAGTAATACCAGATTTCTTTAAGGTTTCAAAAGTGTTGTTTATAGTTGCAGCCTCTTCCTCTGGCTGGGGAAGGTTAGCTATGTTGTTTGGTTCCTTGGCCTTTGCCTTACCAAGGGCAATTTCTTTAACTGGTTCTGTCATTTTAAGTTTTTTGCAAGTTGTTTTTGGAAGAAAAAAGTGAGAGAGACTTCTCTTCTTTGGTATGAGGGCCTTGGCCCTTGCTGGACTTGATTTGAAAAAGTTTTCTTTATCGCTTGGAGTGGTTATTTTGTTTTTTGTTGATAACTCTATCCCTGCCGAATGTGTACAGGAAAGAGTTGTGCAGATCCTTTTTTTGCAGTAGTATTTTGTTTAGAAATTAATAATAGAAATTACTACTTTCTTTATAGTTCGAACTGTTAATGAACTTTTTAACAAGTATATAGATAGTCATTAACAAATACATATCAATAGTGTATATCTAGCTGTATTTGTTCTCCAAGCATCCAACTTGGATCTCTCTTGTACTTTTTGTTATTATCCTTGATAGAGTAGCCCTCAATCTAACTTTGCCCAATTTTGGACTTGGTATTGTAAAACTTACTAAGCAACTACCTTCTCTGGCAAAACTCAGAATATATTTATCGCTCTCACTACTATTAACAATCAAATATTATTAGTTCAAATTGCTATCAGGAACCTTATTTTTAGCTATCAATATTACAGAAACATACCTGACCCTAGGGAAATAGCTCTTGCCCTACTTAGATATTATATCTACTTTCAATTCATACCTACTTTACCATTAGGACAACAAAATATCTTTGATCTCTATATTGATGAATCTCAAAGTTTTGATCTCAAACAACTAGCTAATTTTGATCAATATTTTAAAAATTTAGATTCAGGAAGCCCCATTGTAGCTACTACATCTTATACTAATCTTGACATACCTCAAATTGAATATCACCCTAAAGATAGTTTACAAAAGATCTTTACAAAGTGTTTAGCCAAGATTATCTCTAAAAACAATATATTAAAGGGTTTCAATTTTGTAGAACTTCTAGGTGAATCTACAGAAACTCTAATCCAAATACTTAATATATTAATAGAAGATGCAAAAGTTGAGAATAAACTGTTATAGTTATTAATGCAAGACATAAAGAAGACATTCGACTCAGTATTACAAGAGATACTTGAACATGTATGTAAAAGAATTAAAATTTCTCCAAAAGGGATCAGATTTATATTAAATCTGTTTGGCAAATACATGCTAGAATTATTACAAGCCTGGGTTTACCAGAAAAAATTCAAATCAAAGATGATATCGATCAAGAGGAGGTAATCTCATCTTTGGTTTGGCAGATCTTTTATGACCCTTTGCTAGAAAAAGTTAGCAAGTTGTATAATCAGAAATATAGAAATACTACAAAGACACCTACAGATTTAAGCTCTAACTTTTGGCATGAAGAAATTCTCACACAATCAGTAGTTGCTTTCATAGATGACACAACCTGAATTGCATTATCAAAAAAAAATACTTGAAAGAACAATTCAATTAGCAGAATCTTTCTACAAGCTCAACAATATTCAAATAAATAGAAACAAGTCCAAGCTTATAATAATTAACTAACCAAAAAACCAAGATCTGGAAATTGTTTTAAATAATATAACTATCAAAGCAGAGAGTAATAAAGTAATAATCTATATTCTAGATGTTTGGTTTAACAATCAGTTAAAAGAGTCATATATTAAAGCAAAAGGAATAGTTTAACAGATAGTTCACTGTTTAGCTCTTAAAAAAATCATATTAAACCAGCTATCATATATAAGCAATATAGTAATCATTTCTAAACTATGCTACTTGCTACAGGTTTCAAAGCTATCTAAATCTACAATTAATACAATCTATTAACCTTTCATTAAATTAGTCAAAAACAAGGCAGGTTTTGTTAGTACGGTAGGCAACTATCTAGTTTATCACCCTATTATAGGCAACTATACACCATTATAGTATAGTTTAATAACCAAACAAATTATATGCATTATGCAAAGATTAAATAGCTATGGTAGTGTTAGTAATATGACAAAGTTTAGAGTTAAACAAGGTTATTTAAATATAAGTTTAACTAATAGCAGCTCTAATATCTCTAAAAAGCAAAGATTATATAAAATCTGGAAACATAATTTGGCATGTTTGTTTTTATTATGAGCAGCAGAACTAAATATTAAAATAGTAATAGAGAAAAGCCTTTGGAAGGTTAAAGATTTTAGAGAAACAATAAAAAACATTATAGGTCCTCATATATATAGTCTCTATAGCAAGAATCTCAGAGAGCTAGGAGTTTTTTTTACAGCACAGCTATTTAATAAGAAGGGTGATAAGTTGATAACATGGTTAGAGGCAAAAAAGCTAATTGGTTTAAAAAAAAACAAGCAACTCTTAATTGAATCAGCATCTAGCAAAAGAGTTAAAAATAAATACTATTTAGCAAGCAATTGTTTAGCACTTAAAACCAGACTACCAAAAGTATTTAAAGATAACCAAAAAAGAGAATATTTTTTCTTTAAACAGAACAATGAGAATAATATAGATCTTGTCTTAGATAAAGCAATTAAGAAGTACAAAAGAAGTATTTTAACAGAAATCTTTAGTCCAAACCGGATATCTTTAGTTAGGCATAGCCAAATCATTGGTGCAGTTTCAAATAGCTGGGTAAAGGTAGAGAAAGGTGAAAAGATAGTAACTTCAATTGAAGAAGGTATGATTGCTATAAAGGCAAAGAGTGAACAACTAAGAGAAGATAGTAAAATAGAAATGATAGATATAAAACAAATAGATAGTTTAGAAATAGAAATTATTAGAAAATACATAGCAAACCAAGATATAGTTAATATCCTTATCCAAGTACTTGAGTTTAACCAAAAGATCAGTTACAAAGAATTTTTTTGTTATACTAATGGCTCTCTACTAGCTACAAACACAAGTATAAATATAAGCAAAATAGATATAGCCTAGATGTTTTTTAATAAAAACAAAACATTATGCTACTTAAAAAATATTTTTGGAACAAGAAACACTACTAACAGTCCCATCCAACAAGGCAATCTCTGTTTTTACCAATAGTGTAGCTGCTATATTAGGAATTAAAAAAGGCCTAGAATATAATAGCATTAGATAGTGGTATAAACTAAAGAACCCAGAGCTTATTGCAAGTATAGTTAGTATCATTAAAACTAAAAGCTACAAGTGAGCTTTACCAAAGTCAAAGCCCATGCAGAGAACCAGTGAAACAATGAAGTAGATCTTCTCACAAAGAAAGGCTTTTCATTAAACAAGATAATTAATACTGCAGAGTTATAAAACCAAAATATCACTTACAAGATATTCTGAAACAATATAAAAGTAAAAACAAACCCAAAATTCTTTATTAAATTTTTTCACCAACATGAAGTGGGGGCAGAATGGCAAAGCTCCAAAGCAATTGTAGAAATTGAAGAGAAAGATAGTTCTAACAGATTTAAGTAGAATATTTTTTGGAATAGAATTAAAAATCTAAATAGTTCAAGATACAACACAATAGAAAAAAACAAAAAAATCTATACAATGCTAAAGTGTATTTAAAACAAACTTTCCACTCTTAAAGAACTGCACAAAAGGAAGCCAAATCTATATTCTTCTTCAAATTGTATACTCTGCAAAAAAGATAATACAGAAAACCTAAAGCATCTTGCAATATGTGATAGATTTAAAAAAAGCTAGTATATAATAGAAGAAATGGTACAGAAGATGCCTATAACTAGGCTCAAAGAAGAAAAGATCAATTTCAGTTTACAAGAAGCCCTAGTTAAAAATATTTTTAGTACAAATCTTAAAGATAAATATAAGATTAGAACTGAAATAATTAAAGGCCTAGTTAGAAAAGACAAGATTTATAAACTAACAACCCATAGCAAGTTTAAAAGAGCAGTATAATGCTTAGCCAAGAATGTGATTTTTCTTATATAAAATATGTTCTATAAATTAATTTGGAAAACAAAATGTAAAGAAGTGTTAAAATGGGAAAAGAAAAATAGTATAAATAGACAGCTCAAAAGAAAGAAAAGTTCAATGAAGACTAGAAAATCTTAAAACCTGGAAATGAACCAAGCTAAGTACTAATAAAAAAAGGAAAAAAAAGAAGAAATTCTAGTCTTGTATAATAAAGTAATAGAAAACTTTATACTAAGTAGAATAAATCCCTTTTGGTGTAAAACTTAGACTATCTGATATAGTTTACTAGTAGTAGCTATATACTAGTATGGCAGGTTGTATTTGGGTGTCTGCATAGCACTTGAATAAGGTTAAACTTATTAAATTAGAGTAAATATTATATAATAGATTATCTAAGTTTAAAAAAAAAAAAAAATAGAATATAATTTTAAGCACCAAGTAAACTTATTTAAAATAATTAGTATATTGAATCTTATTTTTCAATGATATATTAAAAAAAGTTAAAATTAATTTGTTATTTATACATATTTGCTTTAATACTACATACATTTATATTTATATTTATAAGACTAAAGGTTTCATGCAATCAAAAGGTAACAATCTTAAAGTAAATGGATTAACTCAAGACTTTGCAACAAACAAGTATATATTAGTTTTTGATTTTACAAGATATAAGGATAATAGAAATTTAATACATTGCCAGCTTGGTGTTAAACATGTGATCCTCAAAAATAAAGATGTTGATAATTGCATTAAAGAATTTCAACTTAAAGCCACAGAATATGAAGATATAATTAAGTGGATTCCTTTTAATAGATTAGATAATGTTCAAAAAATTGGTAATAGATTTTTAGCAAATTGGTTAGATAGAAATGAGGATGAACAGAAAAAGAAAAACATGCAGTCATGTCTGCCATCATCTAAAGTAAAGCTTAAAGCATTAGATAGTTCACAAAGCTTATTAAATATTTTAAAAAAGTAATTATATGTAGATTGTTTAATTAGTAAAACTATATACTTAATTTCTATTATTATATATATTGGGTCAATCTAATTATCCGAATCGTAATTTTTTAGATGGGTTTAATCACTAGGCTTATTTATCTATTGAAAATAAGTAATAAACAATTTTTATTTGCTGAAAGTTATTCACATTTCATTCAATAAA